GCCTACACTGGCAATAAGTACATGTCTATCAATAATTACCTTAAAGGTAATGTACCAATGAAATGAATGTACCAATCAAAAGACACAGAGGTACAGAATGTATACAGAAACAAGACCCATCTATACAATGCTTTCAAGAGATTCATTTCAGACCCAAAGACATACACAGACTAAAAGTGAAGGGGCTGAAAAAGATAATCCATGCAAATAATAGGGAAAAAAATCAGGAAATCAGGAGTAGCAATACTTACATCAGAAAAAATGGATTTCAAAACAAAGAAAGTACAAGAGACAAAGAAGGACATTATATAATGATAAAGGAGTCAGTCCAACAAGAGAATATAACCATTATAAATATCTATGTACCCAATATAGGAGCACCTAAATATGCAAAACAAGAACTAACAGAATTAAAGGAGGAAATAGAATGTGACACATTCATTTAGGAGACACCACTCACAGCAACAGACAGACCAAACACAGAAAATAAGGTAATAGAGGTACCAAATAACACATTAGATCAGGTGGACTTAACAGATATCTACAGAATTTGCTACCCAAAAGCAGCAAGATACATATTTTTCTAAAGTGTACACAGAACATTTTCCAGAATAGATTACATACTAGGTCACAGAAAGAGCCTCAATAAATTTAAAAAGATTGAAATCATATGAAGCAGCTTGTCATACCACAATGGTATGAAACTAGAAATAAATTATTCAAAGAAAAAAAAGCCCACAAACACATGGAGGCTTAACAACATGCTCCTGAATAATCAATGGTTCAATGACCAAAGTAAAACAGAGATCAAGCAATATATGGAGACAAATGAAAACAACAACTCAACAGCTCAAAATCTGGGGGATGCAGCAGAGGCAGTTGTAAGAGGAAAATACATAGCAAAACAGGCTTACTTCAAGAAACAAGAACAATCCCAAATGAACAGTCTAAATTCACAATTGAAGAAACTAGAAAAAGAAAAACAAATGATGCCCAAAGTCAGTAGGAGGAGGGACTAACAAAGCTGAGCAGAAATAAATAAAATTGAGAAGAATAAAACAATAGAAAGAATTTAAAAATCCAGGATCTGGTTCTTTGAGAAAATAAACAAAATAGATAAGTCCCTCGCCAGACTTAATCAAGAAAGGGAGAGGTAACACACATAAACAAAAATGAAAAAGGACCAATAACAATGGACACCAGAGAAATACAAAGAATTATAGGAGAATACTATGAAAAATTATATGCCAATAAACTGGACAAACTAGAAGAAATGGACAACTTTCTAGAAAAATGTAACTTTCCAAGACTGACCCAGGAAGAAACAGAAAATCTAAACAGACCAGCAATGAAATCAAATTGGTAATCAAAAAACTACCTAGAAATAAAATCCCTGACCCAGCTGTCATCATGGCTGAATTTGATCAAACATTTAAAGAATAGTCAATACCCATCCTTCTTAAAGTACTCCAAAAGGCAGAGGAGGAGGGAATATTTCCAAACTTGTTCTATGAGGCCAGCATCACTCTAATACCAAAACCAGGCAAAGACACCACAAAAAAAGAAAATTACAGACCAATATCCCTGATGAACAGAGATGCAAAAATCTTCAACAAAATATTAGCAAACCAAATTCAAAAATATATAGAAAAGATCACCCATCATGACCAAGTGTAATTTCAGGGAGGCAAGGATGATACAATATTTGTAAATCAATCAATATCAAACATCACATAACAAAAAGGACAAAAATCACATCATCTCTAGAGATGTTGAAAAATCACAGATAAAATTCAACATCCATTCATGATAAAAACTCTTAACAAAGTGGGTATAGAGGGTACATACCTCAACATAATAAAGGTCATATATGACAAACCCACAGCCAACATCATATTTAACAGCAAAAAGCTGAAAGCTTTTCCTCTAAGATTAGGAACAAGACAAGGATGCCCATTCTCACCACTTTTATTCAACATAGTACTGGAGGTCCTAGCCACGACAATCAGACAACACAAAGAGATAAAAGGCATCCAGATTGGTACAGAAGAAGTTAAACTGTCACTGTTTGCAGACAACATGATATTATACATAGAAAACCATTAGAACTGCACCAAAAAACTATTTGAACTAATAACTGAATTCAGCAAGGTTGCAGAATACAAAATTACTACACAGAAATCTGTTGCATTCCTATATACTAACAACTAATTAGCAGAAAGAAATCAGGAAAACAACTCCATTTACAATTGCATCAAAAAGAACAAAATACCTAGGAACAAACCTAACCAAGGAAGTGAAAGACCTTTAACTCTGAAAACTACAAGACACTCATGAACAAAATTAAAGAAGTTACCAATAAATGGAAATCTATCCTGTGCTGTGGATAGGAAGAATTAATATTGTCAGAATGGCAATCCTCCCTAAAGCAATGTACAGATTCAATGCAATCTCTATCAAAATACCAACAGCATTCTTCAATGAACGAGAGCAAATAGTTCTAAAATTCATATGGAACCAAAAAAAGACCCCAAATAGGCCAAAGCAATCCTGAAAAGAAGAATAAAGCTGGGGGGATTACACTCCCCAACTTCAAGCTCTACTACAAAGCCACAGTGATCAAGACAATTTGGTACTGGCACAAGAACAGATCCATAGACCAATGGAACAGACTAGAGAGCCCAGATATAAACCCAAGCATATATGGTCAATTAATAGACAATAAAGGAGCCATGGATATACAATGGGGAAATGACAGCCTCTTCAGCAACTGGTGTTGGCAAAACTGGACAGCTACATATAAGAGAATGAAACTGGATTATTACCTAAGTCCATACACAAAAATAAACTCAAAATGGATCAAAGACCTGAATATGTCATAAAAGTATAAAACTCACAGAAGAAAACATAGGCAAAAATATATTGTATATAATCATGAGCAACTATTTCCTGAATATATCTCCTTGGGCAAGGGAAACAAAAGCAAAAATGAACAAGTAGGATTATATCAAACTAAGAAGCTTCTGTCCAGCAAAGGACACCATCAGCAGAACAAAAAGATATCCTACAATATGGGAGAATATATTTGTCAATGATTTATCCAACAAGGGGTTAACATCCAAAATATATGAAGAACTCATATTCCTCAACACCCAAAAAACAAATAACCTGATTAAAAAATGGGCAGAGGACCTGAACAGACGCTTCTCCAAAGAAGAAATACAGGTAGTCAATAGGCACATGAAAAGATGTTCCATGTCACTAATCATCAGGGAAATGCAAATAAAAACCACAAGAAGATATCATCTCACACCAGTTAGGGTGGCCACTTTCCAAAAGACAAGGAACAACAAATGCTGGCGAAGATGTGGAGAAAAGGGAACCCTCCTACATTGTTGGTGGGAATGTAAATTGGTTTAACTGCTGTGGAAAGCAATATGAAGTTTCCTCTAAAAACCAAAAATAGAAATACCATTTGACCCAGTCATTCCACTCCTAGGAATTTACTCAAAGAAAACAAAATCCCTGATTTGAAAAGACATATGATCTCCTATGTTTATTGCTGCACTATTTTCAATAGCTAAGATATGGAAGCAACCTAAATGTACATCAATTGATGAGTGGATATAGAAGATGTGGTACATATATACAGTGGAATATTATTCAGCCATAAAAAGAAAAGAAATCCTACCATTTGCAACATGGATGGATCTAGAGGGTATTATGCTCAGTGAAATAAGTCAGGCAGAGAGAGACAAATACCAAATGACTTCACTCATTTGTGGGGCGTAAAAACAAAGTGAAACAGAAGGAACAAAAAAGCAGTAGGCTCATCAACACTGAGAGGGGGCTAGTGGTTACCAAGGGGGAGGGTAGGTGGGGATGGAGAAGGGGATTAAGGGGCACTATACATCACAATCACAACATAAGTAGGTCACTGGGATGGTAGTACAGCACAGAGAACATGATTAATGACTCTATAACATCTTATCAAGTTGAGAGACAGTGACCGTCGTGGAGTGGGTGAGGGCTTGATAATATGGGTGAATGTTAAAACACTGTTCTATGTGTGTGAAACCATCATAAAATAGTATATCAATGATACTTTAATAAAAATTAAAGAAAAGAAAGATAGAGAGAATATTCTTGCTTACCAAAGAATTTTCCATATGCAAGAGGAACATTTTTCATAGTTAAAAAGATGTTCTCAATCTTATTTCCATGTTCATATCATTGTGGTGCCATTGCAAAATTAGTGTTTTGAAAAATGTCATGCAATAGAAGAAGGGCAAGGCTGATGAGAGATCAAGGGAAAGATATTCTAGAAGGGAAGTCTGGTGGAAACTGGAGCCAGTTATGTAGGAGGTGGTATAAAAGTATTGTTTAAGCCAACCAGTATGTGGAATTTTGTTATGGAAGTCCTAGTAAACTAATATACTATATGATGCCTTCTCTACCTTCCCAGTGCCCAATCCCAACCTTTTCTCATCTGATAGTAATTTTTTAACATAAGATGAAATTTAGTGGATCTTAGATCTGCAAGGTGCTGCATGGATATTAGGCCCATAGTCTTAAATTGAACCATGGCAGAAATATGTTGTTTCATTTCCCTCTCTGTCCTTGCAACTTACTGCAAATAGTATGAAAATTAAGTATTTTTGTTTCCATGTATGTTTTATTTTATATGAAACTACTGTACTTAACACAAAAAATACTGAGATAAGCAGTTAACATTATGCTAAAACAGTGGATCTTGACCTTTTGGAGGGTCTTATCTCCCTTTGAAAATATTATAGGCCATCTTGCCAAATTTGCACATGCATAAGTATACATCAGCGTGCATACCCCCACCCATAGAAATTCAGGGAGATCACAAATGCCCTGTTGCTCACCTATGTGCACCCACATCCAAGGTGACCCTTGGCTTTCAGGTTAACAATTTTTGTCCAAGGAAGGCAGTAAGAATCACATAATCTATAGAAGAACACAAGCCAACCTACCTGCCAGGCTGAATCTGCAGAGAAGAGGGAGTATCCACGGAGCCCAGGCCCACATCATCTCCAAGTTACTGCAGGCAGGCTGGGAAGAGCTGAAAATGTCATCAGTTTGCTTCCTCTCTTTTCAACAACTTTATTTTCAGGGATAAACAGATTCTGGGGATTTTGAGGAAGGGCCCTTTTTTTTCCTTTAACTTTTTAAATCTTATTCTGTTTTATATTTTTGGTTATCATCACACAGATACCTTCATAAATACTCCATCAACCCCAGTCAAAATTTCATTTTGTCCACAATTCATCCCATTATGTAATATGAAAAGCCACCAAGAACAAACTCCAGAAAAAACTACTGTGAGTTATATTGATCTGAGGCCATCCTGTGCCCTGTCCTCAGTTTATAAGCACTCCAGCCAAACGGAACTCAGAATTTCCCACAAACACCATAGTATCTCACATTTCCATGCTTTGTCTATGTGATTCCTTCTGCCCAGAATGTCTTTTCCCCCTTATTCCTGACAAATTAATCCATCCTTGAAGACTCATTCCAAGGCTAACCTTCTCTAAGTGATCTCCCTGACCCCCCACATGGAGCTGGCCAGCCCATCCCTCCCTGTGGCCCACCTCCCCTCAATGCCATCTATGCTGTAGCACATGCTGCACAGAATGGCTTTCAGCACTTTACCTGTTAGTCTCTCCAAACAGAGGAACCTTCTGAAGAGTGGAGCTTCTCTTATTAAAGACTTAGTATTTAAGGCAGTGTGTGGTACATTATGGACATTCAATATTGTTTATAAAATTACTTAGAGCAAAAAGATTGCTTACTCCTCATCTCATCCCAGGTGAGATGATGGGATACTCGAAGGACAAAGCAAATGTAAAAGCAATGCTTCATTTCAGGAAGAAATAAATGATGCCACATTTTCATCTGACAGATCACTAAAGGAATAAAAAAGTATTTTCAAGAAAATAAGTTGTTTAGAAAAATTCACGTGCAGCATTTCTCGAGAAAACTTCAGGATAAAATTTTCTCATGTAAAACCAACTGAAATATCTAATCAACTGACAATGCCTAGAACAATAAAGCAGAATGAGAATTTGGACCTAAAATAACAAAAATACCATCATGAAACAATAAGAAACTGGTTATGTAACAGCAATAGTTAATGTCTAATACTCAAGAGCAGCTATTTTCTCAAGAAATAACTATTTTGATTTAAATGAGTACAAACATTAAAGGGAAATTAACTTTTCAATGAAGAATAAATGTGTTCCTTAACACTAATCATAACATTAACAGCATTTTTTAGTATCTTATTATTTAAAATGTTGCCTTAATTTTCTCCAACTCTTAGCCAGAAGACATGCCTTCACAAGTGCTAAAAGCATTCTGGAAAGGGAAGGAGGCCCAGCCTCCCATGAAGTCTCTATAAAAGCTATGAAGACAGTCTCAATAATTAAATAAACATACATATTTTGAGATGGCCAGCATCAGGACTGGCAGAAACCAATTGCAATGTGATAGTGAGAGTCTACAAAGTGCTAATTTCATTACACAAATTATGTCCTGTCCTTCTAAAATCCCATGTAGATTTGGTATTATCATCTCCACTTTACAGATACGGAAGCTGAGGCTCAGCAATATTTTGTAACCAGTCCAAAAGCCATATAGTTTGTAAGTGACATAGCTGGAATTCAAACCCATGACTGTCTTCCAAACCCTAGACTCTTCCCACCAAAATCAAGCAGCAGCTATCAGTGATTCACTTCACCCTCAGCACCCCCCACCACAAATACCAACACACACACAGACTTTCCTGAGTCTCCTAGGTGTAATGCTCTGTAGCCTAGTTTCCAGAAAGATAAATCCGTGATGTTCATATGTTTTCCCCAGCCCCTGAGCTCTGACCTCCATGATTCTCTCCCCAACCAACCCCAGCATTTAAAAATATTAGCTGTCAAAAGATTAGATTCCCTTTAATTATAAATAACCAGTCTAACTAAGGAATAATTCATGTGGTGGGTTCCAATCCATAATTTCACTAAAAAAAGCAGAAAATGACCTTCACATAATAGAAAAGGAGCCGAATTTGCAAGGGTTTGACTCTTCTAAATGAGTGTGGCACTCACCTTGCTGTATCAGGTACTGTCCTGCAGACGGCCTGCTGGTTGAAAGGATCCCCATCAAAGATGCTCTGTCCCCTGCAGCACACATCAGGCCAGCGACAGCAATGTGGAATCCATCTACATAGAGACGTGTGAGTATTTCCTCTCTGTTTGTCAGGGTGCTTTTACTTTGCTTTTAAGCTCAGCCCAAGCCAAATGGCACTTAACCCCCTTGTAATGGGAAGCAAAGTGCATTATTGTAGCTTTAAAAAACAAAACAAAACCTGCTTCTGCAAGACTACTCAACTTTACAGGAAAAGAGCATCTGAAAGTGCCACAAGCAATTAAAGGGAACAACTACATTTTAAATTTCCTATTCAGGAAGTCCTTACAAATGTGGTAATGAGTGACATGCTGAGTGTATCTTAAGCTTGAAAAGAGAAATACACAATCATGTAATTATCTTTAAAAGAAGAAGAAGATGAAGGAAAGAAAATAATAGTAGCTAACTCAGAAAAGGGGTTTATAATTCTTATTTATGTCTAAAGGAAAACATACTGAGTTGAGAGGCAGCAAGCCTAGCTAAATCACTAAATTAGCAGCATATTATGTGATAGTTAATGAGAATTAATAATACGTGGAATTCTTCCCAGGTGTCAGGCACAATACTGAGAACTTAAATTATCTTCACAACAATCCTATGACAGTAGTAGTATTTTTATTCCCATTTTACAGATGAGGAAACTGAAGCCAAAACTATTGAGAAACTTCTCCAGAGTAAGTAGTGGGGCCAGGAACTAAGCCAAGGCAGCCTGATCCTTAGTTTCCTATAAATCAAAGTGTTAAATTAAATGATTTTGGGAATCCCTTTGAGCACTATAATTTTATATCCTTTTGTAACTAACAAAATCATAAAGAAATAAACAGACTAAGGGTGAAATTATGATGTAAAAGAAACCCAACCTAAGCTTTAAAACAAGATAGGCTTTCCAGCATCCTGTTTAATTTTAAACCCATTTCCCATCTTGTTTAGGCAATATTCCACTAAGTAGCAATACTTGGCAGAAATAAGGAGAGAGGTGGTCTTTTACCTAGTAGATTATCAGCAAGAGATACTAAAAATCCCATTATGAATGTACTATTTGGACAGCCAAACTGGTTATTCATGGATTCTGTATTTGCAAATCGGCCCACTATCCAAAACTTAATTTGTACCCTCCAAGAATCAATAGTCAAGGTGATTTACTAGTTACTTGCAGACATGCATGTGACACATATGTTCCCAGCTGAGAGAGAACAGGGCAACACCCCACTCTCATACTGTATGCAAAGTCTTTTTCATAGTCTATTTAGTGCTATAATTTTTGCATTTTTGTACTGTTTTATTGGTTGTTTCTGCTTATAATGGCCCCCAAGAACAGGGCTGAAGTGCTGGGTAGTGTCCCCAAGTGGAAGAAAGCCGTGATGTGCCTTACAGGGAAAATACATGTGTTAGGTATGTTTGTTCAGGCATGAGTTAAATAGCTATGGCCATGAGTTCAAGATTAATGCATCAGCAATATGTATTAAATAAGGTATCTTTCACACATACAAAAAACAAGAGTACATACTGATCAACTGACGAAAGAGTTGAACAAGAGGCTTGAGGAACTCAACCCTATAATTTCCCTAGGGAAAATGGTTTGGTATTTGCTGATTCAGTATTCAGTGACTTTATAAAATGCAATTACTGCAAATAACATCTGCAGTAAGAAACACTAACATGAACTGAAGGAGGAAAGACCTGAATCTGCAGGACCCAGTGAAACTATCGCAGCAGAGGCATGTCCATGGGCACTGAAGTAGGTGGTGACAGCAGGAAAGGAAGAGATGGGGCAGATTTGAGGGTATAAAACAAAGAATGTCAGATAGAACTGGCTTGGATGGATAATACACTTGAATAAAGTAACACTGAGGTAGGAGGGAATGGGACCCAATCTGTGTGCTCCAGACTTTCAACTCAATTCCACAAACATAATTTAATTCAGGTCCTGTGTTTGGCACTGTGGAAACAAATCTGAGGAAAGTGGAGGCCCCACCCAGGAAAAGTTCACAACTTAAATGGGAAAACAGACATGTAAACAAGATGTTATGAATCAAAGTGGTAAGTGCCATCAAAGAGGTGTGTATTAAGTGTGGCATAGGAAATGGGAAAAGGGAGCCATTAATTCTAACCTAAGGAAAGTGGGTCCCAGAAAATAAGAGAAAGGAACATTTTAGCGAAACATACTACTTAGAAATAAATGTACAAAATTATAAAGTAACAAATATTTCTGGTAGAGGTGTGGAATAGCCAGACATTTACTGGCACGTGGGGTGGGGCCTAGAAGCCATGCTGGTAGCCCTTCACTGTACCTCCCATAGTGGGCCAAAACAGTGGATCTCTAGAAGACAGGTCTACTTGGACCCTCAGAATATGACCTTATCGGAATAAGAGTCTTTACATGTAACCAAAGTAAGGATCTCTAGCTGTGATCACCCTGGGTTAGGGTGGGCCCTAAATCCAATGACTAGTGTCCTTATCAGAGACAATGAACAAGAAGGCCTGGAGAGGAAAGCTATGTGACTATGAAAGAGAGACTGGAATGGTGCATCTGCACATCAAGGAACACCGAGAATTGGCAGAGCCGCTAGAAGAAAGGCATGGTACAGATTCTCCCTCAGAGCCTGCAGAACCAAACAACCCTGCTGACCTTGATGTTGGACTTTCAGCCTCCAGAACTGAGAGAAAAAATGTTTTTTTTTAGTCACCGAGTTTGTTACAATAGCCCAAGGAAACTAACCCAGCCTCCTATTCTAGGTTACGTGTGATTCATAGGCCATGTGACTCAGACACTCTCACTCACCTGGGAATGTGGAACTGAGTCAGCTAGATGCTAGTGGTCAGTGGGGCTATCGAATCATGGGTGCTGGCAGATATATTTTAGACATACAAGATAAGAAAAAAGGTTAAGATGAGAGTAAAGAAATGCAAAGAGTGAAACAAAGGTGAGAGTCTATGTGATGACAGGTAGTTAAACACCTGACTTCCCAGCTGCTTTGGAACACGAGACCCTGAGGTGGTCCCTGCTTGAGGACATCACTGCAATAATCTGCTACTGATGGAATTTATATTGAACCTAATTTTGTTTCTTGCAACCAAATGACCCCCAATTTAACAATTATGCTTGAGAGTAGCTTGATTTTTAAAAAACATAAGGAGGTGGAAATAAAATGGTAATTACTAAAACAATGAGTAATTTCAAAGTGTAAATGATCAGGAAATAAAAGGTAACTGTTGGGAAATTTTAGCAATAAAAAGGCTCTCCAAATAGAAAGCAAAATGCTTTCTTTTATAATATAGCATGTTCATTGCTTCAGTCACCAGACTAGATATTCAAATCAGGGGAGAAGATGAAAAAGGGGAGAATATCAAATGGTCCAGAGACTGCAACGAGCCCAGCTCTATTGACCACTACTTACATCCCTCCACAGGTAGGTCTTGAGATCCTTCTGCCTTGGATCAGGGCTCAATATCTTAACATGTCATATTTGTCACAGTTCCTCCCAGTCTCTGAGCATATATTAATATCTACTGTGTGCCAAGGATTGTGGCAGGCCCTGAGGTACAAAGATGAAGATCTCAGTCATCAACAGTATGTGAGCTGATTGTAAGTCAGATGTAGAAATGAGCAATCATTATAGCAATGAGGAAAATACAGGAGTGAGAAAAATACAGGAATGTTCAGGGCAGGCATTTAACTTTGCCTGGGAAGTCCAGAGAAAGCTGCACAAAGAAGTAAACATTTTAGCTAATACCTGATAAGTAAGTAGACAGATGCACAGCAGCAGAATAAGGCAGCAAAGGGCACTCCCAATACAGAGACCGCACAAAGTTGGGAAGGAGGAGAGGATGACACTTCCGAGAGCAGCATGGCCTACCACGTGCCCGTGCATCAGGCAGAGACCAGACTGTGATGGCAGGGATTGTTTTCTGTTCCATTTAGTGTTAAATTCTGAGGTCTGTCATCAGAATGTAAGTTCTATGAAGATGGTGAATTTGTCTTTTTTTGACTACTGTAAAATCCACATAACTTAATCCAATGGTCAGTTCTCAGACCTCATTACTGACCTCATCTTTGCAGCTTTGACATACCTGATCACTCTCTCCCTGATACTCTATCTTCTCTTAGCTTCCAGGCCAGAGCATGCTGGATGCTGAACAGCAAGCCTTAAAAACCCTTTCTAAAAATCTTAAAAAACCCTGATTTGTAGCATTTGCTGATTTCTGTAGTGTAAATAGACCCACATGGTCAACTTTTTAAGCTACCAATGTACCATCACCACACACAGGTGGAAAGAGATGTGCAGTAGCACCCACTCTACAGCTATGAGAGACATGATAGATATGATAGTCACAGTACAAATATGATACACATAGATAACCTCAAGTGTACAGATACTGGAAAATGTAGAAAATGATTGGAAAATGATTAGCTATTACTTTTGTTTTTAAAACAGGTTTTAAAATTAAGTTTATATAATTTATGTTTAATGGCCATGCTTGGAAATCAGCTCATTAAATTCCTGACAATTTAACAATCAGCCTTCATGGGCTGAGACAAGCTGGCTCCAGGAAACCATGCTTCCAGAGCATCTCTCCTAGTTTTCTTCCTGCCTCATGGTATTCTCTCTGTCACCTTTATTTAGGCCTCCTTTTCTCCTTGACCTCTATATGATAAAGTGTCCAGGGCTCAACTAGAAGATGAGAAAGAGGGAGGAGAAAAAGTTCAGAAAATCTATAAATGAGTTTCTTTTTATTTTAGCATATTTGTGTATTTTAGACATTTTGAGAATAAAATTTTATTTTACTACTATGAATTCCATAATCCTTTTAGGACTTATGTCATTTGGACCTGTGTTGTCCAATGTGGCGGCTACTAGCAACAGGTCGCTATGGAACAGCTATGGAACAAGCGCAATTCCAAACTGAGATGTGCTGGAAGTATACTATACACACCAGATTTTGAAGGTTTAATAGTAAAAACAAAAAAAGGCAGTTAAATTCTAATAATTTTACTGATTACATGTTGAAATAGCCTTTTGAATATTTGAATACA